CTCTAAGCCTTTTCCTTCATTCCACAGCAACCATGCCTGAAAGGTGTGATAAAGGATAGATTTCGTATAATATCCATCAAAGAGCTTCAATAAATGGCCATTGACCTCTAAAATATGAAAATAAGATTTGATTGATTATACTTACATATCCTACGAGATCGAGTGGGGGCTCAGTATGATAGCAACTATTATTCTTCTTGCCACTTACAATTTCCAGTACTAAGACTCCAAAGCTGAAGACATCAATTTTGATTGAGACAATGTCATTTATGGCATACTCTGGAGACATATAGCCGATGAAAAATAAATGAATAAATTCTTTTAGGGTTTGAAAATGAAAATGTTTTCATATGAAAATGGACAAAGCAACTGCATATATATGTTTGATTGTAAATGTAACAGGTACTTACTATGTTCCAACAACTCTATTTGTGTTTGCTTCCTATTCATTAAATCTAAATAATTTAGCCATTCCAAAATTAGATATTTTTGGATTCATCTGGTTATCGAGTAAAATGTTGTCTACTTTTAAGTTTCGGTAAATCACTCTTATGCTTAAACTGGAGTAATGCAGAACTTTGGTCGTGAGAACAAAGTTTCGCAGAACACTGAGAATGCAAAAGCAATAACAGGAGGCAGAAAATATGACAAGACCATGTTAAGTACCAAGCCATTTTTCTGTATGAAATCAGAGGAATGGATATATTTGTAAATGGGACGGAAATGGAGGGTCAATATGTATAGAACCCGTTTTCAGCTTTCTTTTTTAATTAGTTAAAAATTTTATTAATCAATACAGAATCTGCAAAGAAAGTTTCATAGAAGCAATATTCCTTGAACCTTATAGTAACCAAGTTTTTATCAATAATTCAAACTGAAAGTTAGATTCATGTAGCATAAGTCTTGGTTGTGCAGTGAGGACTACGTGCTCATCTGGAAAAATATTATCTACTCTCACCAAGTCTTGGTCATGCAGTAAGGACTACTCCATCAATAACCAAGTGTCATGGCCATGCACTGACTATTCCACTAACTATTTAGCACCAAGTCTCCGTAAATTATCTAGCATCTAAGTCTTGGTTGTGAATGTCTTCTAAGATTAAAATCATTTTCCACACGGTGCCCGAAATGATAAATTAATCTTCAAGTCTCAATTTCTAGTAATTTTCTCCCTCTAGACTCTGTACATATTCAAGTCACCAGTAAATAATAAAGCCTTTTATTTTTATTTTTTCTGCATGTATTGTTGAAAAATAATATAAATACAGCTAACTTTGTTGAATTGGGGGAAGTATTTAACCGTGTAAATGAAAGCCACTTATACAGGCAACCAAATCAATATCGCTGCTTCTGCAATGGTCCTATTTTTTCTTATTTCTTTAACATTTCAGATTTCAATAATATTAAAACAAAAGGGGGCCCAATAATCTTTGAGCGACAACACAGTGGAAAATGAATTCTAAACTCATTAGAAACCACAAAGTTCAAACTGAGGCTAACTTATTATAACAATGCTTTAATGACAGAAGCAAACGATTTGAAAACATACAGGGACTTTGACGTAAAGTTAGAAATTATGGACCTTGTGATAGGAATCCACTGCTAAATTGATAGAAATTGGACTCCTTTGTAGGCTTGAGTAGAACTCTTTTTAAAAAATCGACTTACCAAGAGATGATGCTTAAGTCCTTATAAACTATACGTCCACCCCTTTTCTCTCTCAATGTGAGATCCTAAAATAATTTGGGTGAATGATGGTCCCCTATATTATATTCATATTATTTTTGAGGTATATTGTTTCTTTTAAAGTGACTTATCAAAATTATATTTCATTTTATTTTTAACAGATATTATTTTCATTATTATTTAATTTTTGAAAACTTGTTAAAAAACATTATTTAAGTCTATTGATATTGAATAATGAATATACCTAAATTTGATAAGGATTGCTGCTTATGGGATGGGGTAACATGTGATACGGTGACCGGTCATGTGATTGAGCTTGACCTTAGTTGCAGTTGGCTTTTATGTCAGCATCCGGTTGGCAACACATACTGGCTCAATCCTTCCATAATACTCTGTTGAATCTGTCCTATGGTACCATATTCCTAAGAAACGATTTCCAAAGAAACCAAGCCTGAATTTCCCCTAAGCTGAAACCAGCTTTTCCCCATCTCTAAGCTGTTTGCCTGGTATTATATTGTCTCTCTCCATCTGAGAATATGAAGGCTATCGAAGTAAGAAATCAAATCCTCTTGAGCCTTAATTTTTTGCTTCATCCATAGAATTATGTAATGCAGAAATGAGTCGCAGTAAAAGTCAAAAACTAGGGTAACATAATATTGAATCGGGAAAGTATATGATAACACAATAGCATCACCTATCAATTGGTGAATGAATTTATAACTATTTATCATATTAATTACCTTATGGTATTTCATATTATTGTATCTAATCAATTATACTGATTTTGATCTATTATTTCTTTCTAACTGCCTTGAAAAGTCCACAAGTCTTGTATAAACTTTTGAGTATTGTAAATCGTCGTGTCTTTAAAGTTAAACCATTAGAAATTGTCCGCACTGTCAACCATAGATATGTACTTTCGACTAAATTTCGTGTTGTGATAGCACTAACCACATTAAAGAGTAGAAGACTTGAAGGATGGCAGCACACGGCTTCTCCGCAATGTCATGGACCACAAGAGCCTAGATCTTTTCTAAGAAAATCAATCTTCATTTTAGACTGTGCCAATATTGGGTCCACATAAACAGCTCTTCGTTGAAGTTTCATTGGCATTAAATCTCATTCCAACGATATTCTATCTCTCAAGTCTCATTCTAGTCGTATCGAAGAGATCATTCCATGAATAGAATCTCAATACGATTATCATTCTACAACAATACAGATTGTCCCACTATTTCATTAACGCCGGATGATAGGGTCAATGTTGAGAGAATGAACTTATGATCGACACATTGTTTCATTATTAAGTTGTCACTACCACACGACTTCTCCTTAATGTCATAGATCAGTAGAGCCTATTTTGTAAGTTAATTGGTCTTCATTTGACTGTGTGAGTATTGGGTTCCCTTAACATTATCTTATAAAATTTCATTAGGCTAGGTCTCATTCCAGTGGTGTGCTATGCCTCATGTCACTTAAATGCTCTTACTTTAAAATCCCCTATGAAAGAGCCCATTTTATAAAGACGACATGTCGGTTGGAGAAAACCGGCATGTCGTATTCGTGTTTAGATAAATATTAATTAAATCCCCTATGTTTCAGTAAGTTTAAAACATATGAATCTTCTTGGACCTAAGTGATATTTACCCTGGATCAGAAATCGACGATCATATGGTTTTGTACCTCAAACCATGGGGACGCAAACCATTTGACAAATCTCTCGTGAATGCTTCTTCAATTATAAACTCATCTAACTTCTTAGAACCCAACGTGATTGTGGTTGTGTTGTTGCTGGGTTGATGTTTTCATTATGTTCTGCAAATTGGTGAAGGAATGTGCCTACAGAATTTGGTGATGGGTTTTGTATATGTGTATTTTTGAGGATATAATAATGCAAATTGAAGATGGAGATCACCAGTAGAGCTCCTGTTACTGCAATAATCAACCATAGCCACTGCCGCTTTTCTGCAATGAGAAAGGTCAAATTTTGCAGAGCAAAGCAAGAAGAAAGCTATGAAGCCTATGCCCTAACAGATGTAAGTCCTATTAATTGCAGCTTTCCTTTAGCTTTAAGACCAAAAATCAATGTTTCTGTGTATTGATTTCACTAATAAAGATTGTAGTTTAGAGTCAGTAATCCAACAATTTAGAAAGTTTTGATTTTCATGCTGCTATCTATGATAAACTCTAAACTCATATAGTGTGAAGCCATATTGATTTCCTAATTTGACTAAATATACTGATATATAACACAAAAATATATGAAAAAATATAAAATCCGCTAGTTATCGGAAGGTATTTCTGTACTAGTATTTCAACATGGAAGCTCAGATTATTAAGTTACTAGCTTATTTTCTGGCTACCATCACTGAAATTATTACATCATTATTGGAACAATTTTCTGACTTGGTTTCAGCAACTTCCAATTCTTCATCAGTTACGTTGATGAAAAATGCTGGTTGTTTTGGATCTGGAAGAAGCATAGTTTCATTTGTAAGCATAGAAACCACATTGAACATTGTAGGTCTATCTCTTGCTTGATCTTATACGCACAATAAACCAACATGAATGCATCTTAGAACTTCGTCAGAACATGATTCCCTAATGCTGGGTCTATTAGCTCTAAACCTTTACCTTCCTTCCACAGCTTCCATGCCTGAAACACCCAGTAATGGTCAAATTAGAGTTAGAATATTGATACTAACTTAAAATTTTAATAGGTGTCTTGAATACTTACATATCCTACAAGGTTGAGTGGCTGCTTTGTATCAAAGCAACTATTGTTCTTCTTGCCACTCACAATTTCCAATACCATGACTCCAAAGCTAAATACATCAATTTTAGTTGAAACAGTGCCATTTATGGCATATTCTAGAGACATATAGCCACTGAAAATGATTGAACACTGTTTTTAGCTCATGAAGAAAGAAAACATGGATGCATATTGGTTGTAGATTAAGCATATACTTACTATGTTCCACAAACTCTCCTTGTGTTCGCTACTGACTCATTCACATGAAAGATTCTAGCCATGCCAAAATCAGATATTTTTGGATTCATTTGTTCGTCAAGTATAATGTTGCTAGTTTTCAAGTCCCTATGGATCACCCTTAGTCTTGAATATTTATGAAGACAAAGAAGTCCTTGAGCAACCTTTTCAATTACGCTAAAAGGTTTCCTCCAATTTAATAGGTTCTTCCTGCTTGAATCTGTTTCAAAATATATGTGATGAAAAAAATTAAAAGGAAAGGAAAACATCAGTAGTAATTAGTAGTTTAAAAGTGACAGATTTAGAATTCCAGAGTCCAGACAAGTTAGAGAAGAGACCTACCAAATATAAAAAAATCCAAGCTTTTGTTAGGCATGTACTCATAAACTAAAATCCTTTCTTCTTCATGAAGACAGCTTCCTAAAAGCTTCACAAGATTTGTGTGTTGGAGTTTTGCTATGACTTTAGCTTCATTCTCAAACTCTACAATTCCTTGACCTGATCTTCTAGAGAGTCTTTTTATTGCTACTTCTTGTCCATCTGGTAATTGTCCCTGAGATCATGACTCTGAAAATTACTAATTGTACACCAAACACAACTAAACTCAAAAGACTTTACCTTATAAACTGGACCAAAACCACCCTCTCCTAGCTTATTGTGAGTTGAGAAATTATCCGTAGCAGCTGAAATGACTTGAAAATCAAATATCTTCAACTCGTGGTTTATGCCATGACCTTTTTCTTCTCTTTTCTCTTTCCCATATGAGGTGATAAGTAAAAAACTCTGTCGAAGTATACGTAAAAGCTTCTTTCGCTTTCTTTTACTGAGGACTAACCTAGATATATAGAAAGTATTATTCTAATTATGTCAGAAAATGCTCAAGAATGATGTTTGATTTACAGATCTTTTGTATCAAACCCCTTAATAAATATGTTTACCTTTTGGCTTGACTTTCCTCCATATGAAATAGATTAAGTAGGACAACAGGGAAACCAAGAAAGTTGTTCCTACTGCAATTTTTAATGGAAACCACCTTTTGTTTTTTGCAACAAGATAGTTTTCTGCATAAGATAAATACAATTAAAAGATGCTAATACAGATAATGAATCAATACTTTGGAAGAGAACAGATGTACAATGAAGAAGACGTACTTTTCAGTTGACTTTTCGGTTGAAGGATGCATACATGCCGTGAATTGACAAATTCCCTGTAAGATTCTGTGAAATTTGCTTCTCTGCCCCAAATCTCACAACCAATACGGAGATGTGTGGTACTATAGGCTGCGCAAGAACAATTATTCCAGCATTTCAATTCACAATCAGTATAGCTCATGTTTTCGCTTTCTTTGAACTTGAATCCATCTCGAGACATGAAACCATATCTACTTTCAAAGAACGGAGCATCTCTCCTGCAGATAGGATCTTTCTGATAAACTTTTTTGCTAGAAACAATCAATTGAATCGGTGAGCTTCCATCCAGTTGTATTTTCAGCATATCATTTGGATATCCAGTTAAAGAAAAAGTGAGGTATTTTTCTTGTTCGTTTGCAACAAGTCTAAATTCATAGTTAGCAATAGTCCAAGAATTCGAGGACATTGATTGCTCATTTAGCGAGAGCACACCCGTCCAGTAGACTTACCCTCGCCACCAGATGACTAGCTTGTTTGTGATATTCGAATCGATACCAAGGGTAAATGACCCTTGCCCAGGGGAGTCTTCAATAATCCATGATTGCAGAAACCATTTATGCCGAGTTCGCAAGTTAATTCCAAGTTTCATCCCAGGCAAAAGCGTATCAGTCGGATAATCAATGCTTTGCTATAGCAACCGTCTTATAGATCCATTTAAATTCATCTCATGTAGGACAAGATTCCCAGATTTCAGTAGAGTAGCACTTGTATTCTCACTCCTTGAACCCAACTTATGGAAGTAGGATCTCCTTTGTAGAATTTTCAGATTCCCATCACTGCTATCTATTGTATGACTTGCAGATTCATCTAAGATTGGGATGTTCCTGTTTGCAACCCACACAGACTCGTCCCTCCGGTAGAGTATTCCTAAGTAATGTTTCTCTACATCATTAGGGCTAAAGAATTTCAAGCTGAATTTGATCAAGGTTTTTGAGATATATTTAAAATAACTTGCATTACATACTAAAGTAAGTACAGAAATTCATCTGTAAAGTATTGTTTGGAAATTTTATAAATATAGTTCTTTCTTTGTTTATGCATGGACGAAATTTCCGTTAATTTCAATCCATATATACTGGTCCTGAATCCCGATGCTGCAGAAAATATTTCATGCAGTGATGTACAGTCCGGCATTCAAAATTTTTAGCCTTACGATTACCAAGAATTGGCAGCTTAGGCCAGTTATTCTTAACATGAATTCTGCTGAAACTCAAAATATATTTTTAAGGTTAAATCTGATTAATCATGGCAACAAATATATAGTGAATAAAAATTCAAGAAATCATCAATTATCTGCATTACCTTATCTTGCTTGGATTACAGAAAAGATGCTAAATAATTACTACTGGTATATTTATCTTGCCTCCATATCTGTCATTTTTTGGATATGGTGTATACTTCTTTTAGCCTTAACAAATTGTTTGCTTATGGGCTACGGCAACTCATTCGGGGGTCTCGCTGTCTAACTGGGTTTAAAATTAGTTTACTAATATTTGAATTTGGGTAAAGTTAGATTCGAGTTAGCCCAAATGAGGTTAGGTTTCTATTAGTATTTTCTGTAATAGTGAAAAAATCTAAGGTGTGAGAACAGAGAGAAAAGTGAGCTGCCAATACTGTTCATCTTTATATTCTACAGTTTCCTGATAATCAATAAAATTGCTCTATTTGAAGGTTAGATGTAGTTCCTTGTAAAAGTAAATCATTGGGTTCTATTATTATTTTATTTTTTTTCTTGTAACGTGTTTTGCTTTCAGATTAGACACCAATTTGTACCATCATTTGTGGAAATGAACAGCATAATTTTCTTCACTTCACATGTAAATAAACATCATGTTCTAAAGAAAAGTGTGTACACCCATAAATGGAATTGTTGTTAAATGAGTCAAAGCAACACCATGGTGTTTATTTTTATATAGACTACAAACAGTAGTCAAGTTTTCCATGTCTCACCCGTCAAGTACTCAAATCTATCAGCTTGTCAGTCAAGTTTTCCACGTATTACTGTTCAATAGAAATTAGGTGACATTAAAAAGAATTTTGATTTTGATAATAAATAATATGACTCTGATAAACAACTTTTCTTCATTGGAAAGAAGTAGTTGATAAACGAGCTTTAGAACAATGTCATGACCCCCGAGCTCATGACATTTTTCGTCAGGTATTATTAATACTGTGGTTTCAAAGTTAGACCTGCGACTGGTTTTCTCCAATTAGAGCCCCGAGCTCATGTTTGTTGAATAATTTTGGTGTTCTGTTTTGTTTTGTTTAGAAACAGAGCAAGCTTTCTGAGATGATCATTCTAATATTGAACTCTTCTGTTAAAACTTACATACTGTAAACGGACATGTTTATATTTAATAACAGCTTTGCCAGATTAATTTTTTGTACTTTGATCAAAAACATAGCAAGCTCTGTTTATTAAATATATTCTTTTCTCTAATTCAATCTTCATACTAATAACCAATCACCCTGAATTCAACTCAAATTCAGAATATTAGCATCAAAATAGTGAAAAGGAGCAAGAATTAGCACCATGGACAGTTATTCTAAACCATGAGTTGAAACAAAGCATCTTATGTTATCTGGGAAAAAAAAGATTCATATGCAGAGCAACTGAACTGTGCTTTGTTTTTGTTAAATGCATGTAGTAACAGTGTTTCAAAATATATGTATGATCATGGCACCAAATATATGGCCAAAAAAATCCCAGAAATCATCAATCCTGGATTATGCAAAAATAATAATAAATATTTCAATGCAATGATGCAGAGACCTACATTTCTAAGCTTTAGCTTCACTTCGGATAGGGAACAAAAATTGGCTCCACAAATCTACTAGAGAGTTATTCTAAATAGAAATCTTGCCTAAACCCATGACCTAAATATATATAGAGGAGCATTATCCATAAAACCGAATATATGTGGCAAATAACATTTCCACAAATCATCAATTATATGTTTGCATGTCTGCGCTTGTATAACAAAACTGATGACAGGATTATCAACTACCAGGAATATCTATCTAGCCTCTATCTCGGAAATTGTTACATTATTAGTGGAACAATTTTCTGAGTTAATTTCAGCAATTTCTGGCACTTCATTAGTATCACTGACATAAAATGCTGGTTGTTTTGGCGCAGGCAGGAGTAAAGATTCATTTGTGAGCATGGAAACAACATCAGACATTGTGGGTCTATCTATTGCTTGGTCTTGCACACACAAGAGACCTACATGAATGCATCTCAGTACTTCATTAGGAGAGCTTGATCCATCCTCAAGTCCTGGATCTATGAGCTCTAAGCCTTTTCTTTCATTCCACAGCAGCCATGCCTGGAAAATATGATAAAGGATAGATTCCATATAATATCCCTCTAGAGTTTCAATAAAGGGCCATTGACCTCTACAATATGAAAATAAGATTTGACTGATTGTACTTACATATCCTACGAGATTGAGTAGGCGTTCAGTATGATAGCAACTATTGTTCTTCTTGCCACTTACAATTTCCAGTACTAAGACTCCAAAGCTAAACACATCAGTTTTGATTGAGACAACACCATTCATGGCATACTCTGGAGACATATAGCCACTGAAAAATAAATGAATAATTCTTTTAGAGTTTGAAAATGAAAATGTTTTCATATGAAAATGGACAAAGTAACTGCATATATATGTTTGATTGTAAATGTAATAGGTACTTACTATGTTCCAACAACTCTTTTCGTATTTGCTTCATGTTCATCAAATCTAAAAATTTTAGCCATTCCAAAATCAGATATTTTTGGATTCATCTGGTTATCGAGTAAAATGTTACTTGTTTTTAAGTCTCGGTGAATCACTCTTAATCTTGAATATTTGTGAAGGTAAAGAAGTCCTTGAGCAATTCCTTCAATTATGTTGAACCGCTTCTTCCAATTTAATAGATTCTTTCTATCAGAATCTGTCCAAACACATTTAGATAAAAAAGAAATATGAATAACTGATATAAGTGATAGAATTGTTGTTGTAAGAACCTTGGTTGTAAGAGTTGAAGTCTTACGAAAAATAAAGAAATCCAGGCTTTTGTTAGGCATGTATTCATAGACTAAAATTCTTTCTTCTCCATGGAGTGAGCATCCTAAAAGCCTAACAAGATTATTGTGAAGTTGAGAAGTTGAGAAGTTGTTTGTAGCAGCAGCAATGGTTTGAAAATCAAATAACTTCAGCTTGTGCGTCACATTCTGATCTTTTTCTTCTGTTCTACCGTCACCAGATGTTAGGGGAAGAGACACATCACCTCCAAGTTCGCCTAATAACTTCCTTCGGTTCCTTATGCGTTCCACTAATTAAGATAAATGGAAAGTATGGTCCATATTATGGTTATTGGTTGATATTTAACTATAACAATTGTGCCATTTGATTACCTTTTGCCTTGGAATTTCTCCATATCAAATAGCATAAGTAGCACAGTACTGGTAACACTAAAGCGATTGCTATCACAATGATCAAAAACTTCCACCACTTTTGCTCTGTATACAAGGAAAAAGAAAAAGTATAATCTTCTAGTCCCTGAAAATCACCTTCTTCCATTAAATCAATGTTCACTACCGCTGATATTTAAGAATGCGTTTAGGGGTTGTGAGTAAAACAATAAGATATGAAAGGGGTTTCAGGAATGACTTGATTGAATGAAACTAAAATTAGCTGATTCCCTCCTCGTCATATAAAGCACTCTCGGAAATGCAGAGTACCTTGTGGTTTGCTACCATATTTTATAAAAGTTGTCTCTGAAAAACTTAGAACATAGTTTCCTGCTAATTTATTTTTTATTTATGCACTTGCAATATGGTTTGTCTTGACCGCTAGTGTTCCCAATGTCCATCATTAATTGAACAAACCCCTTACAAAACGCGGTAACGACTTTTCCCACCAAATAATGGCTTAATAACTTTTCTACCCACAGACTTTTAAAATACAACTTTACTATCCAAATTTATATTCTAGTGGCGAAAAGAGAGCAAACTTGGTTCAGGATGTTAGGGCTTTTGAAGACAGGAGACCGATGAGTCTTTTGGTATTAGAAGGTTGGATTTTGGTGTTTGAAATTGATCGGAATTTAACTTGAGACGGCAGCTACACAAACCTTAATCTCTTGATTGTCGGCGATTGGCGAGGTCGGCGAGAGTAGGTTTGAGAGGTTTTAGTGTGTGATGATTGGGGAAGAGAATGGTGGTGGTGTAGAGTAGCAACGATGCCAGAATAAAAAACGGAATATAAATTTGTGTAATAAAGTAATGTTTTAAAAGTCTGTAAGTAAGAAAGTGTCAATCACGATTATTTGGGTGGGAAAAAGTTGTTTACTCCTTACAAAACTATCAAAAGTCCTCTGATAAGGGTATTTAATACTTTGTGAGCGAAACATACATTATATATACTCAAAGATTTCACAGGGAGAAAAATTAAATAAATCCTAGATGAATAAGATAAAGATATGAAAGCACTATTGGAAATGCAGAGTACCCTGTTGTTTGCTACCACATTTTATAAAAGTTGTATTTAAACACTCGTTTTAAAACTTAGAACATATTTATATACTGATTTATCTTAAATGCAACAATTGATCATGAGAATTAAACTTAGAACAAGTTTTATTTACATCTACTGGGAATTTTATTCTTGATCATCTCTAATTAATCAGATAGATTTTGACAGATAGCATACCATAACGCTCGCGATTGTATTTTAATCGCCTTCCCAGATAGCTCATGGGACAGTACACGATCGCAAGTAGAGCTCCTGCTATTGCAATGATAGACAGCGACCCATTCTTTTCTGTAATGATAAAAGAAGTAAAATGAAAAGCATCAAACTTCTGTCATGAGAGTTTAAAAGACAAATTCTAAAGGATATGTTTCAGGTAGCTCTTCATTTCGGGATACAAATCCCATAATCAATTTTTTTATTTTTTTTCTTCTAACCAACCAAATAATCTTGAGTGTGGGGTAAAAGGATGCATCAATATGAATGGGCAAGTGTAATGAAAATTCAACTAAAAAGTTGAATCAAATCTACCTTTAGGTACTTCATGAATTTCCGGTTTAGCTTCCGTGAATATTGGACGAACACGATTACCAAAGATGAGGAAATCCGTGAAGTTTGTCTCTGTCTCCGTGAAGTTTGTCTCCGTGCCCCAGATCTCACAGCCACCACTTAGAGTAGTAGCAAAGGCAACACAAGAACAATTACTGAAGCATTTGGCAAAGCAGTCAGCGAAGGTCATGTTGTCACTTTCTTTGAACTTGAACCCATCACCTGACATGAAACCATAATTGCCATTGAAACTATTAACACTTGACCTGCACGAGGGAATCTTCCCATTCCAACATGCCGCATAGTTCCCAGACCGAGAAGTTCTAATTAAAGTGCGATAATCACATTGTGAAAGAGGGTACTCGCCATGATCTGTAAGTGAACCGTCGAAATTCATTTTGATCATCGGAAATGATACGTCAGATTCTTGTATTAAAGAATAAGTGAAGAATTTTTCTACTTCATTTGATGTATAATTAAACTTGTAAGTGCCAGTAGCCCACGGTCTAGAGGAGTTGAAGTGACCATTAAGCCAATACCCACTCGTCCGATAGACATCCCCACGCCAACTCATGATCAACTGGTTTGAGACATTGGGGTCCATGCTAAGGGTAAATGAACCTTGAGCAGCAGAGTAATAGGAAATCCAAGACTGAAGAAACCATTTGTGCCCAGTTTGTAAGTTAACTCCTATTTTCATTCCAGGCAGAAGTGTATCTGTCGGATGGTCAAAGCTTTGCCACAGCACTCGCCTATTAGATCCATCCGAATTCATTTCATAGAGCACAAAATTGCCAGTTTCTAGAAGAGTAGCACTTGTATTACCGGCTGCTTGAATCGAACTTATTACGATAGGATCTGTCCCGTTCGGTAAAATTTTCAGATTGCCATCTGTACTGTCTATAGTAAGATTACTTCCAGTACCTAAGATTGGGTTGTTCCTGTTGGCAACCCATATGATCTCTTTATAATAATCTGTTGAATCTGTCCTATGGTACCATATTCCTAAGTAACGATGTCTAGAGAAACCACGGAAACCAAGCCTGAATTTCCCATAAGCTGAAACCAGCGTTTCCCCATCTGTAAGCGGTTTGCCTGGCATTATACTGTCTCTCGGCGTCTGAGAATATGAATGCTGCATCAAGAGGATGAAGCAAGAAAGGCTCACAAGGATTTGATTTCTTACTTTAATAGCCATCAATAGAATTATGTAATGCAGAAATGAGTCGCAGTACAAGCTCTCGGGTTGTTGGGTAAATGATTTTGGTTTTCAAGCTCTCGGGTTGCTGGTGAATGAATTTATAACTATTTATCATATTAATTACCTTATGGTATTTCAGATTATTTTATCTAATCAATTATAGTGATTTTGGTCTATTATTTATGTCTATCTGCTTTGAAAAGTCCACTACTCTTGTATCAACTTTTCAGTATTCTAGTCAACCATAAATATGTATTTTCGACTTAATTTCGTCGAATTGCTTTGACCGTTACTAAGAGATAGATGTCTTTCTCAAATACGTTTCGTTCCAATCAGAGTCCGGTCAGGTTACGCCTTTGTGCTTTGTCTTCCAAAGTTGGCCTTGAAGTAATTTGTCTGTTTGGGAATAAGAAGCTCCAAACAGAAGCATAAGGTATGAAAAGTTCAAAAGGATGCGATTTGTTCCGTTTCTAGCCATATTGTGAACATGAAGAAATGATCCTTAGTACAAGCTATATGGAAAGTTCAAAAGACTATTGACTTCAGGTGTTGATATTGTCAAATTAGGAGGACATGTGTAACTTTTGAATATTCTAAACTGCCTTCTTTTAAATTAGTCCTACGGGACACTCATTACTGCCCCACAATCCTCAACCACCCTACATATATTTTAGTTCTTTCGGAAGAGGACTTACATAACCTCTAATTATTCAAGATCATCAATCAAGCCTTGTCTTGTAAACAAAAGTCTTCTGTCTGGCTGTCTTCTAGTGTATGCCAAAAGCTCTGTTTTTACTTGAAGTATTGTGGTAATAGTTTTCAGAATAAGTCTAACAAATCAAAGTGAGTCGCCAAGAGAAGTATGAAGCATGAAAAGCTCAAGAGGATTTCATGCCTTCCTCTTCTCACCATCAATAGAATCATGTACATGCAGAAATGGGTTCTGCGTGCTCTGTGTACAAGCTCATGCAATGAATTTAGTAAAAGAACAATTGAAATCAAGTCTGTCAAGTGTTAACTTTAATAGTTTTTCGTTGATTTTCTTGGAAGGTTCATTTGACAAAATTTGAGGACTTTTATAGCTTATAAATATTCCAAACTGCCCAAGACAGTTTGATGCAGACAATTAATAGTGCCCCCTCAATCCTCAACCATCATAGATAGATATATAATCACTTTGAAAAGTAAAAAAAAAAATTATTTTAATTTCTTAAATCTTCACTAAAAGAAATAATTAGTTTGATGATTCTTCTCAAGAGACATTCATTTACTAAACATTTACTATTTATTTTCTTCTCATTCTAATTGTTGCCCACGTTTATGCCTTTACCCACTGTTAATATATCATTTACGCACATTCAAATTTAGACCCAAGTTTAAATGAGGCTTTGCTTGAATTAATATTACTGGAATGTTATACTTAACAAGTAAATTAAGCTATTATGGCAAGAGCTGTCCTCATTGACTATCGACTTCAGCCTTCAGGAGAGACTGGAGAGTCAAGTCTGATGGCTTAACAAGTAAATAAATGAAAGTAGTTTGAAAACCTAAGTAATTCTCAACTTTGTGCCTTCATGATTGTATTTATGCACTTATGCCCACACAACTATTTCTATCTTCCTTCCATCTTTGATATTGTTACGTTATTTGCTGAACAAATTTCAAACCTGTTTTTAGGAACTTCAGGCACTTCAGAAATAATATTATTAATGAAAAACGCCGGTTGCTTTGGTGTAGGTAGAACCATAGTCTCGTTTGTAAGCATGGAAACAACCTCCGACATTGTTGGCCTATCCTTTGCCTGGTCTTGCGCGCACAAGAGACCTACATTCAGGTATCTCGACACTTCATTGGTAGAGCAAGATTCGTCCATTGTTTGGTCAATCAATTCTAAACCTTTACCTTCATTCCACAGCTGCCATGCCTGAATAAAAGAGTTAAGGTTAGATTAATTGTAGATTGATCAATGCTATCCCAAAGTTTGAAGGATTTTCACAGGATGAAATGTATAATAACTGAATACTTACATATCCAACAAGGTTGAGTGGACGCTCTGTATCATAGCAACCGTTATTCTTCTTACCAGTCACAATTTCTAATACCATGACTCCAAAACTATATACATCAGTTTTCATTGAGACAACGCCATTAAAAACGTACTCTGGAGACATGTAGCCACTGAAAAATAATTTAACATCATACATTAATTTTGTTGGAAGACAATGTAGTTTGTTGTAAATGTGTATATACTACATATACTTACTGCGTTCCAACAATTCTGTTTGTATTTGCTTCTAACTCATTCACCCCAAAAGCTCTTGCCATTCCAAAATCTGATATTTTTGGATTCATTTGGTCATCCAGTAATATGTTGCTGGCTTTTAAGTCTCTGTGAATCACTTTTAATCTTGAATATTTATGGAGATAAATAAGTCCTTGAGCGATTCCTTCAATTATACTTAAACGTTTTTTCAAATTCAAAATGTTCTTTCTACTAGAATCTGTCTCAAATTAAGAAACAAACAGATAGTAATGAGTAGTTGATAGATGATTCTTCTTAACGTCTGAAAAGTTGTACCTTTTGGGAACTAGAGTTCCATAATCTCTGATGAAGGCCTCAATATCTTGATGGTTCTTTGTTAGATTCCTTAAAAGGGATTTTGACCTAAAAGATGAGATTTTCTTCCTTCTGCATAAGCAGATAATTATACAAATGGTGGTTACTGCAATTATTGCAGAAACAGTGCCTGTAAAAAAAAAAAAAAATTTGTTTCGAGTCAGTCTAGTTGGAACACGGAAAGGGCAAGCAGAGGCAAACCCGTGCCTACGAAAGCGCCGAAACCTGTTCAGGGAAGTAGTAAAAATAAGAAAATTCTGAATTGAAAGTCTGATAAAAATTTGATATTTTGAAAGTAAAAACAATATATAAATCTGTATTACCTATGGCAAGCTTCCGTCTCAAATTAAGAGTATTGCCTGAATCATTCACAGTAAAGAAAAAATTAGAGCAGTTTGAATAACAAGAAGATAAAATTTTTTGTGAATGCGCGTTTGGCATTTGAGCCACTCTAGAAGTCAGTACTGTTATGTATAAAGTTACAGAGAAAAAAAAAAAAAACCGAATTCGGAACAGAGGAAACAGAGTAAGAACACTCAAGGCAAATAATCAGTATAATCTGGTCTTTTTGGGTTAGTAATCAAGAACATTAATAGAGGAAACAAGAGAAATGAATAAACTACCTATAAAATTACCATCATCGCATGTTTTATGTTGAGTTTTATCTTTGCAAAAACAAAGGAATTCAGAATTATCGAATCCACACCGCCCACCACTTGCCTCACAATTGCTGCAACCAAGTGCAGTCCAATTCAAGACGAACCCGATCTTCAAAATTTCAGTATAATTCATCTGCAACCAATTGGCGCCGGTTTCTACATTCAGAGGTGCGTAAACAGAATACTGGCACGACTCGAGAGAATAATTCACAAGCATTTCCTTGTGAAAAGCAGCAAAAGAATAGTAGTGTGAATACTCGTTACCACAACTTATAGAATATGTACCATTCTCAGGAGGCTTATCGGAGCAATTGTACCAGAAGAAAAGATCTGTATCACCAGGAACAAAATTGAATGGAGTGCGAGTAAGAGTAAGGTTGTAAAGAGGAGTTGGACATAAGTTCTCATCGGCTGCAGAGTATGCCAGACGAAGAGAACTGTTTTCATAGAAGATATCCTTGATGATATAATCTTCATATGAAATGTTGAGTACAGGTTTCTGATCATTGCAGATGATCTCAAAGTTAGGGGAGCCACAGTAAGATTCTTGTTCACCAGAAATCCAAAAAGGGTACCGTATTGTAAGGTTACTGCCACAAGTTTTCGGTTCACACGCCTCAAATTTTGAGTTATCGGAGACTGTCTGGTGGGCTAAGGTGAAGAAGATGATAAAGACAAAAACACAATGATGAAGAAATGGTTTGAAGGTGAAGAAACAGGGAGGATCCATTTGGGATGGAAGATTGAAGGAAATAAAATTTAGAAATGGGTAAAGAGGAGAAGAGATAAAAAACTATTTTCAGAAACAGAGTGACAAACAAAGTAGATTGAAGCGAAAGCAAAGATTTTTTAAACTTCAATTAACAATTCCGAAGGTGGGACAGAGTCAAAATTATTATTATTCATCATGCATTTAAAAAAGAAAAAGTCAATAATGAATAATATTACTATAATATTGTTTTAAATGTTAACTGGATCAGAATTTAAATGGAGAAGAAGACAACGTTACTCTTATACTGATTGCAAAAATTATAATAAAGTTGAAATAGCCTTTGCCTTTGGAATAGAATTTGGAAAAATGAAATAGGTGAAAGATGAACAGAACTCAACCGTGTGATTTTGATTTGAATAGTTTTTATTGAACATTGTTATGCAACGGAAACATAAACTCTAACGCTAGCTTATTGAATATAATAATACAAGTAATAAAGCATAAATAAATTGCCAAAATTAAATGCAAAAATAAAGAATACCAGGAATTAACGAGGTTCGGTATTAAAACCTACGTCCTCGGGCGCTGCAAAAGAAAGCTCCACTATCTCCAAAGAATATTACAAATATTTGGGCAATACAACAAATACCCAAAACAAAGGGGAGATACAACAAAACTTGCAAACTAAAGGGTCCTTAAAGAAAGAACCCTAAACAAAAGAAGTATAATGGAATTACAACTTGGGATACAATTAACATTGATTTAGGTCCTTATATATAGGCCCCAAAAGTTTCCCACTTTTCATTCCTTTTCAATGTGGGACAAACTAACTCATTTTGGCCTATTACATATAAGTCCCTAAACCTTTCTCCATTATCACTTCTACCCCATGTGATTTTGCTAAAAGCCATTTTTCAACAAATCTCCACCTTGGCGAATTAGCAAATCTTCAAAGTTTTGTATTCTTCTGCCAAATTTTGCAACACCTTCAAAAGCACCAAAAGACACAGTCAAGCTCGCAGGATGTTGATCAAGTTCAAACAATAAATGAACTTGACCCTTGTCACTACTGAAGTCAACATGTCTGTAGGATTATCTTCTGTGCCAATCTTCTGGAAAATCATTTTCCCATTTTCAATATAATCCTACACATAAAACTAAACCAATATCTATAGTACATAAAATATACTGTAGAAACCATTTCACAACTTGCAAATGTCCTTTACCAGGATCATGCATATGCCTGCTCACCATACTAACTGCTTGTGAAATATCAGGCCTTGTGTACCCATGGCCTATCATACATTGATCAAATCGCTTGTACCACTGTCTTGGTGACTGCTTCAAACTATATAGCGATTTCTTCAATCTGCAAACCCAAGTTTTCTTTCCAGCAACCCTATAATCATCTGGCTGAGTCTTGTAGATTTCCTCTTCCCAACTATCATGTGAAAACACGATTTGCACATCCAATTGAACTAGTTCAAAATCAAACTGTGCCACCAAGGTTAGCAAAATTAGAATGGAAGAATACTTTACCACAGGAGAAAACACTTCACTGTAATCAAATCCTTCCATTTGAGCGTATCCCTTTACTACCAACCTAACCTTGTGCCGAACATCTTCTCTATTAGGAAATCCCTTCTTCTTTGCATACACCCATTTGCACCCAATCGCCTTCTTATGTAGGGATCGCATTTCATCATTCATGGCCGGTTTCCATGATTCACAATTTGAACTCCTAACTACTTCTTTATAAGTAGTAAGAATATCAACATCTACGATTGGAAGTGCATAAGCCACCATATTAGCGAAACGAACAGGCTTGCGAATTTCTCGTCTTGGCCTATTGTATGCAATCAATTCCTGTTGCTGAGGAGATTCTTGGGGTAAAATCTCCTTTTCATCAATAGTATCCACATTAGTCACCTCAGAATCACTTTCTGTCTTGTGGACACTATCTGGTTCAACTGTTGTTTCAAACTCCACCTGCTGCTGAGTATGCTCCACACACATATGCCACAGCTTGAGCATTTCTGAATCTGTATCCTCCTGTACGACTGCAGCTGCCGTTCCAATAACTGTACTACCATTATAGTAATACAAGTTGTTTCTCCTTCTGCCTTTCATTACCACAAGAGCGTCTGAAGAAACTTTTAGAATTCCATCTCGCATATTCACTGTGAAGCCTTTAGATTCCAAGGCTCCCAAAGAGATGAGATTCTTTTTCAACTTCGGTACATACCGAACATCTGTCAGAGTTCTAGTTGAGCCATCATGATTCTTCAACCGAATTGAACCTATCCCAGTTGTTTTACAAGCATCATCATTGCCCATATAAACAACTCCATCATCAAGTTCTTCAAAATTAAAGAACCACTCCTTGTGGGGACACATATGATAGGTACAACCTGAATCCATAATCCACTCATTTGATCCAGAGGTGGATGGTAGGCTAACTAGACAGAAATCAGACTCATCCTCTTCACGCTCAACAACGTATGCATCAGAAGCAGCTTTGCCCTCTTTCTTTTGCAACTTCGGACAATCTTTCTTCCAATGCCCTTTCTCACGACAAAAGGCACATTGATCCCTATTGAGTTTTCCCTTTGAACGAGATCTTCCTCTTCTCTCCTTCTTACGACTCTGATTTTGACTCCGCCCTCTTGCAACAAGAGCTTCTGCTGACTCATCTCTATTCTCCTTCTGATCCTTCTTCCGAATTTCATGATTGGACAGAGCAGAACAAACTTCTTCAAAGGACAATTTTTCTTTCCCATGAAGAAGTGTAATACTAAGATAGTCCAACTCATCTGGAAGAGATCCAATTAACAACATAGCCTTATGCTCATCTTTGAATGTTTCATCCAAATTTAACAAATCAGCAATTAATCTGTTAAATGTATCAATATGGCTACTGATATTCGTACCTGGTCTCAACTGAAGACGAAACAGTCTTTTCATCAAATAGAGCCGATTCTCATTACTTCTCTTCATGTATTTGTTTTCCAGCGCCTTCCATAACTTATTTGCAGACGTCTCTTTCATGAATGGATATTTCTGCTCTCTACAAAGACATGAGCGAATCATCCCACACGCTTTTACATTCAACCTCACCCAGTCTTTCTCATAGACATCTTCTGGTTTTTCCTCCTCCAGAACGATATCTAGATCCTGCTGATACAAGCTATCCATTACCTCACTCTGCCACAAGCCAAAATTATTTTGGCCATCAAATTTTTCAACATCAATTTTTGCATTTGAAACCGTTATCATCTTTACTGGTGCGGATGGTGGTGCCGCGGACGGTGATGCCTCGGACGATGAATCCTCGGACAATGATGCCATTTATGCCTTACTCAATTAGCTTGGTAAACAAAGTTCCCAATAACCAAGCTCCACAAATTATTATATTCAATAGCTAACCAACAAATCAACAATAGCCCTAGGTAGTAGTAAGTGCTGAAATGATTAAATACGCACCAGGAAAATTCCCAGGAAACAATGGAGGGGTCACAAATGGTCCCACTTAAAATCCAGTCTCCTTAGACTTTTATCGTCTTTTTGACAGAATTTTCCTAGACATGCATATAACCATACAAATAGCTACTCACTGTCCTAAACCTAGGCTCTGATACCACTTGTTATGCAACGGAAACATAAACTCTAACGCTAGCTTATTGAATATAATAATACAAGTAGTAAAGCATAAATAAATTGCCAAAATTAAATGCAAAAATAAAGAATACCAGGAATTAACGAGGTTCGGTATTAAAACCTACGTCCTCGGGCGCTGCAAAAGAAAGCTCCACTATCTCCAAAGAATATTACAAATATTTGGGCAATACAACAAATACCCAAAACAAAGGGGAGATACAACAAAACTTGCAAACTAAAGGGTCCTTAAAGAAAGAACCACTTGCAAAAGAAGTAATGGAATTACAACTTGGGATGATTAATAACAATGATATGGGTCCTTATATATAGGCCCCAAAAGTTTCCCACTTTTCAATTCTAATCAATGTGGGACAAACAACCTTTTCTTGGCCTATTACATATAAGTCCTTAAACCTTTCTCCATTATCATTTCTACCCCATGTGAATTTGTTAAAAGCCATTTTTCAACAAACATGTGAAGGAGGAGTGCTGAACCATTAAAGCCAAGGCAAATTCCTATCTCCTTCGCTCGTAGACTTTGACAGTTTGACTAGTTCAAATAGCTGACTCAGACTCACCAAGCTCACCTTCTATGAGGCTCACCAAAGGAATCATAAAGTCAAGTCAACTAGAGTAGATGATTATGAATGGTCAGTGGATATGCTTTTTCTCGTCAAGAAAATTGATTATTTGTGAATTAGAATATGGCCCAGGAAACAAACAGACATTATAATATACAAGTTAAATAATTGAAGAAAAGAAAATTCACAACAAATATAAACAATCAAATATCTTAGAAAATTTCAAATCCAACATTATGGATCCATGACATCACCTACATAAATTAAATATTTTTGGCAAACGAGTCCTGTCACAATTTAATTAAAACAATATTATGATATTCCAGAGTTGCATAGACTATTTTATAGTCTTAACAAAAAAACAAAAAAGAAATTCATGAGTTGGTGTAATTAAAATATTCTAATCCAGAATTCCATCCAACTATTATAAATGAATATTTGAGTTTGATTAATCCTTTCTTACTACCAACGGCGAAAATTTAGAGATTTCTCAAAAAATTATTGTGAAGAAGAAATCGAAATAACATCCAGAAGATTATCTACTACTATATCTCTTCTATTAGCTGAATTAGTTAGTAATCTAGACCCCGAAACCTTGGGAAAACTGATAATATATCGAAGAAATTTCTAGCACACACTCCATAAGAACCAGCACTAACTGGTCCCTAATTGCTAAATGCTGAGTTCTTCCATCTTTCCCAGCTTTCAAAAGGTTAAAACTAATTAAAAACGTTGCAATGGTTAAACCAATGCGAAATTAGAGTATATGCAACGTAAAGAAATATCAATAAGGCAGAGCGTGGGAAGAGCATGCATACCAGGACGAGCATGCATACCAGGACATGCATGAGGGTAAGGTTTGTCACGGCAAAAGCACACAAATTCCCCTGCATCTGTAGATCCGCATGTCCCACGAGAAGTTTGACATGCAGAACAGAGTATGTTCTCTGCCTCATACTTCACTTCTAACCCCTTCAATAACACCTTTTTCAGCCAATCCAGGTTCTCATAATATTCAATCTCATGGAGAGCATCAATGGATAGAATGGGGACTTCTTCAACCTTTCTACAAGTTACAGTATCGGTAAGATTTGGAAAATACTTTGATTTTCCGTCATCAATTGTGTAGAAGCCTTTCCTATCTTCATCTCCTTGTTTACAAGTATAATTATGTAAACCCAGTTGGGATTTATCAGTGCACTCATAGAATAAACTTAGGTTTCGAACGTTTGGGCTGTAATTGGTGAGAAATTGGTTTAAATTAACGCTCACGTTGGATCTTTCAGGACAAACAGTACCGTCCCAAGAAGTACCGACCCAAGGGGGATCTTTTCTTGAAATTCTCACTGTTTGATCACTTGTGTTGATGTCCAAAACTCGAAACTTTTGAGGTGGAAAGTTTATTATAGGATGCTGATCGTCTTCACAAGTGAGCTGGAATTCACTTTTACCACACTCCGGCCGGCTTTTGTCTCCCCAGAAAGGATACGATAAATTCAATACAGTCGACGACCCACCACATGAGAAATTGTAGGGTTGACTGCATGCCTCGTACCGTTCATCATCACAGTAAGATGAAGGGATGGCGATCAAGATGCAGAAGAGTGTGAAAATCATGTAGTGGAGAACAAGTGGTGGGAAGAGATTATTGTTCATTCTGTGGGAAGCGATGGAGGGGATACAGAGATAAGAGAGAGAGTCGGTAAGATATGGGTTGTATATTATGTCAAATTCTCATAAGATGATTCATAGTTAACGGTAGAGTAACATAATTAAGAAGAAATAGACACGAAAGAGATGGTGGAAATTGTATAATGTAAAGGGGGAGACTAGTTGATTTGACGAAGAAAGGCAAGCCCATCACAATAATCCACATCCGACACATNTGCGTCTGCCTCCGCCTTAGTTGGCACTTTCCCGCATCCTAAGCCCGTCACCAACGCATACTCCATCATACCAAACCGTAGTGGCTTTCCCTCCACCACGAACCACATTTCATTTTTTTTGTTGCATTTTACTGAGTGCATCAACATGTAATGCACTCCCTGCCCCCAAAATGACTTTTTCCACTTTGTTCCGATTCTTAAAAACTGACCGAAACAAGTGCCACCAAAATCTCTTTCACCATGCCTCATTCTAGCTAAAATGGCCCTTATTCTGTCAAAAACCTCCCAGCTCAACCTCACCGTCACCTTTGTAGGGAAGTAGGGTACCTTCTCACTTATAGGCTCCAACTCGTACTCTCTATAGTTTACGGTCTGCACAATCTGCACAATCGATATAAATAAAATGTCAGCAACAAAAATAAACTAAAACCACTATAGTCGCTTAAGCGATCTCGGATCGCTTAAGAGATCTTTACTCTGCCTCATGCAAGATCGCTTAAGTGATTTTAAATCGCTTAAGCGACCAAGAGTTAACTGAGAATCTCTTAAGCGATACAACAGATCGCTTATTATATCTGTGATTCTGCCAGACCTAAGATCGCTTAAGCGACCAAGAGTAAACACTCATGATCGCTTAAGCGATCTTAGGTCTGGGTAGAATCATCTGCCCAGATCTCAGATCGCTTAAGCGATCATGACTGCGATCACAAGTAAAACAGAATAATCGCTTAAGCGATACAAATGATCGCTTAAGCGAAAGTACAAGCAATATTCCCAAACTACATACCCTATCTTCGCCGGCCTCCTCCTCGTCGCCTGGATCCTCTGACGACTCCTCCTGGCCTGAATTCTCGCCGAAATCCTCCTCCTGGCCTGAATTCTCGCTTGACTCCTCGTCTTCAGACCCGTTTGCTGGTTCTTCCCTCTGCTCTTGTGCCACCGGCGTCTCCTCTACGTGTGGACCACCTTCACTGGTCGGATGATCCACCGGAGCAGCCATTGAACTGCTTGCGCCACCGGAATCTAGGATTCAAAGTGGCGTTGGGCTTCCCTCCTCATTGTCAGTGTCACTCATGGTTTTGGATTGAATTTGGTGTCAAAGTTTGCAGTTTCGATCGAAAATGTGGACTGTATCGCCGAAAATGGCACAGATTTCATTTACAGTTAAGGAAATCGATTTTAGGGTTCAACAAATCGATCGAAAATCGCGACTATATCGTCGAAAATCGCTACTGTATTCGGTTTAGGGTTCAAGAAATTGATTTAGGGTGCAAATTTGCAAGTGTTCGATCGAAAAAAACCGTGTCTCCCTTTCGTTCAAGAAATCGCTTTTTGAACTTATGAATTTCGATTAAGCGAGGTGAATAGTTAGTGGGGCTTGTTTTGCGAAATTTCAAATTTTAAAAACTTTCATTATTTCTGATTCGGCCCACATATGTTTTAATCTTTTCATTTTAACCTATTTTACGTGTTTAATTAATCCTAACTATGCCACGTCATCTTCTCTAAATTAAAAAAAAATGATGAATAGTTTCAAGACCATTTTCTTAAATCGAAACTTGGGATGACCGGACGGCTAAATTTTCTCGTAGTCTACTAGTCTGGTATAACATATGTTTAATTTTTGTATTAATTAAAAAAACTTTTAATCATGATGAAAAAACAAGGTAAAAGTGTTACACCTGTAACTATGTTACAGGTAGTAGACTGTACTAAGATCCAACGGCCCAGATTAATGAGCCGACAATCATTGATCCCCAAAGTGCCAAAATCTTTACTCTCGCAAAACCAATTGATAATTCTCATCAGTCATCATCATCATCAAGATCAATCTGAATCATGTGTTACGGTCACCCTCACCGACGATCATTACCACCGGACCATTTCACTCCTTCACGAACTCATCGGACTTTAAATGACAACGCTTTGGCAGTGGAGGAGTTGCATGGTCGGCTGGCCGAGACGGAGGCGCGGCTGGAGCGAGCCAGAGCTCGAGAAGCCGAGCTCAGCCGCCGCCTTGAGGAAATGAAACGATTCGTTTTGGTAATGGAGATTCTTGAGACTTACCTTAAACGACGGTTTCGCGAGCAGCAAGAACAACTGTCACAGCTCTTCTCTTCGCTTCCGAAGTAAATAGGACTTTCTTGCCGGTGATTTTTACTGATTCCTTTTGCTTATAGGATTTTCCTTCTACTTGTCGATGTCGTTTTTGCGTTTTTTCTTATAGAATGTCGTTTCTGTGCTGTAACTGCTGTTTGTAATGTTTGATGGCTATAAGGAATCAATTACTACCAGTGATATATAAATTTGTTTTTGTATCTTTAATGTAATTAGTGGTTTTTTTTTCTTTTATGAGTTCAAAATTAAGTAATTTGTTGAATATAAGTTAAATTTATTGATATCTGATAAGCTGTAGTATGCACTTAATGGAGTAATTGCTAATTATGTGGATTAGAATTAATATTTTTAGTGAATCATTAGTAAAGAATTGTTTGATCTTGTTTATTAATGCTAAGTGGATAAAGATTTAACGAAATGCTTATTTTTGTAATTTATGGCATTTGATACTTAAAGGTAAGAGTGGCAAAAAGAACGTTTATGAAGCGCACTTGGATTGGTTAATTGAGATTATAGTTATGGATCGAGCTTTCACTTTTGAGAGAATTTTTCAGAATATATGAATTGCTGGTGTCAACAGGGTCTTTCATTGCATAAATAAGTCAGGTTAGTGTGAGTTAAAGTGGGCATTAAGTGGCCTTCCAATAACATAATGGGTAATGGGCAAAAGATAAGTTTATAATGGAACATGGTATCTGAGTTCATACTGTTTGAGTTATTGTTCGGGCAAAAGATAAGTTTATAATGGAACATGGTTTCTGAGTTCATAATGTTTGAGTTATTGTTCTTTCTCTTCCCTGCTAATTGGAAAAATAAATAAATTTTGTTGTGTGGGATTTGTATTTGATGTGATTGGATTGGAAGAATGTGATATAGGTGAACAAAGATTTGCTAATTTAATAATTTAGATGGAAAGCAGATTCGTAGGTTGTGAATGTTCCAAGTTTATGGTAAATTTGGTTGAACTGTAATCAAGGAAGAAACATCTGTTATTGAAGACAACTGCAACATAAGGAGCAAGTTGTCTTGGAATCATAGAATGTTAGAAACTATTGTTGGTAATATAATGCTTTTGGAATTATTGCTGATCATTGGGGTTCTTTTTAGGTTGACATTGCTTTTCACTCTATGTGGTGGTGACAGAAAGCCTGGGAAACTATGGCATTGCGATGTAATTTCAGCTTTCCCATCTGTCTTGGCAGATAATGAAAGAAGTATTTTACTGATGACCCTGGTGTCTAGGCTGTTGATTAAACCTTTGTGTTATATAACCATACAAGTCATTGCAGTTACATGTAACTTGGGAGTGTCCTTGTTTGGTTGAAGATGGGCTGTTTCTTTTAAACAGTGGCATTTTTTAGGTAGTGGGTGATCAAAACTAGCATGAATTTGTATTCTCCTTAAATAAGAGTGAAATGGTATTTAGATTCATAATAAACTGTGTGACATTTATTAGTGCTAAAGGGCCTCATTTGGAAATGGTACGTCTTAAAGTGATTGTTTGTAACGTAGTACAACTGGGGAACAGTATTGACTTATGGAACTCTAGAGTCATCCACGATATTTTTTGTCTTAATCCTTCGACATAAGACTTCTTATGATTAATTCCGTGACTTTTACTAGCAAGATTGATAAAGTAACAAATGAGTTATGTAATGCTAAATTAATTGAAACTGTCTAATGTTTTTAGAATAGCACATCCTTTGTATCTGAATAAAATCGCACTGTCATGATTTTTGTGTATCATTGGAGTCAGAAAAACCTGATCGGTTCTTGAACTTGGTCCTAATACTTTTTTCTTTTTGTCTCCCAGTTTTGGTGAACATACAGAGAACAAGTGTTGGTGAAATGCATAGTTTGGTGTTTCTAGTTATTTCAGAAACTGGCTTTAAAGCTTGTATCCTCTTGTAAGATGGGTATATTGGCAGGAGATGTCGGTTACAGTCTTGAATGATCCTTAGGTATAGTTAGTTTTGTGGAATCTTTTGTCATGGCTCCACATTTTTAGTAAGCATGGAAAGTAATCTTGGTGAATGTCAAGATAGGGGGTTTGCAATTTCATTTAGCTGATTGATTTACAACTCTGTCCTCTTTCTCTTTCGCTCACCCCTGCACCCACTAATTCCATCACATGCACTCGCAGTGATACAGACACCAAGTGAGTGTATGTATTATAACTCTTACAATAATTTCTCTTTTAGATATGCCATGCCTGATTTTCCTGATTGTACTTTAATATTTAACCTGTAAATGTGCGTCATATTGGATTATTAGTATAATCAGTTTTAGTAGTTAATTAATCAGTTAGTTAGTCAATTAGTTAAATAGTTGGTGAGTTGTTGTGGTTAATTAACTATAGTTAGCTAACCATGGTTACTTGTATATATAAACTGTAATAAACATCTTGTACACTAAATTTTTGAAGCTGAATAAAATTTCTCCTCTCAAATACAAATTGTTTATGGTATCATAGCAGTGTTTTTTCAACTGCAAAATGAGTAGCTTCGATTGAAGATTCAATTTAAAATCAACTTTGTTTCTTCATTACTTCTTCATCTCTCCGAATCTCAAAATCAATAGAATAATTTCATTCAGCTGTTCTTTAGTTGAAATTTGTTATTAATTTAGCTGAATTCTTGCACAAGCTGAAATTAATTCATCTCAGAATGTCGAATGTTCCTAACTCAAGTTCACTACTCTACATACATCCATCAGATACCCCTGGATCAATTCTTATTTTAGAGCAGCTTACGGGAATAGAGAATTACGGAATTTGGAGTCGTGCAATAACTGTTTCTCTGATAGCAAAAAACAAATTAGGTTTTGTTGATGGATCTTGTAAGAAGGCAAGTTTCAATCAAGCTTTGCGTGCACAGTGCGAACGTTGTACTTTTTGGTGTTAGCTTGGATTTTCAACACTATTTCAAAAGAAATATTCAATAGCATTGTATACTCTACTAGCACAAGTCAGGTTTGGTAAGATCTTCAAGAACAATACAACAAGGTTAATGGCACAAGAGTCTTTGGTATCCATAGAGAAATAGTTGACATGGTGCAAGGAACTCACTTGGTTCTAGTGTATTACAACAAACTGAAAACTCTATGGGATGAACTCAGCTCATTGGTAAGCTTGTCACCACCTGATAGTGAATCAACTAAAGCCTATTTGGCACATCTTAACCAACAAAAACTACTATGGTTCCTAATAGGACTTAATGACTCATATGCATTGGTGTGAAGCCAAATCATGTTAATGGTTCCCTCCCCTTCTGTCAAACAGGCTTGCTCAATAGTAAGTCAAGATGAAAGTCAGAAGGTCTTAACTGGATTTAATCAGAACATTGAAGTTACTACTAGGGGTGTTCGGTTCCGGGTACCCTGCATTTTTTGAAGGAACCGAAACCGGAACTAACGGTTTCGGTTCCTAGGTACCTAGAACCAGAACCTGTAACAACGGTTCCGGTTTTGGGTACCCTGTAAAATTGCATGACCCCCCAAACGTTTTTAAAATGGCAAAAAAACCCTTAAAAACTTACAAATAACCCCCACCTAGAACTTGTTAACAAAAATAAAATTACAAATTATAAATTCAAAATTAAAAACTCCATTACTTTGTAAAGATAGAATCTCAAAAGTCAAACCAACTTACTTTAAATGTTATGAAATATAAATATAAATGTATTCACATTTCTTTTTCTATAAAAGTTTTTATTAACCCCCCTACTCCTTAATTTTATTTTATATTAGTCTCAGTTCCCGGTTTCGGTTCCGGTTCTTAACTATAGGAACCGGAACCGCACAGTAACGATTCCAAAAATTTGGAATTAGAACCTACCCGTTGACGGCCGGTTCCGGGTAGGAACCGGAACCAAACCCCAGGTACCCGCCGGTTCCGGTTCCACTAGGTTCTTTTGAACACCCCTAGTCATTACAGCACTTTACTCACAAGGGAATAAGAGAAATCAGACTCAGAGTTCGAAATATAAAGGGAAGAAGCCCTATGTTGAATGTGATTATTGCCACATAACAGGACACAAGAAGGATAGTTGTTACAAATTGCATGGATATCCGGCAGATTTTCAGTTTACCAAGAACAAGTCAGGATCAAAAGCTAAAGCCAATCAAGTTCATTCAAGTCAAGAATCAGCTTCACACACTAAATCAGCAACTGACAGTAGCAAAGAAGGAATTAGCTTAGGCAATGTTTTGACTCCATAGCAGTATGCTCAATTGATTCAGTTGTTGAGCAAGGAGAACTTGGGAACACCATCAGCTAATTTGGCAGGTAAAATTGTTTCCCTATATTCAAACTGTGGTGTTATTGATGATTGGATTCTTGACTCAGGGGCCACTGACCATATGACTCATAGTACCCGAAATTTTGCATCTTGTGTTGATAATAAACCATCTATACCTGGTTATGTTAGTCTCCCAAATGGAACAAAAACATCAATTCAACATGTTGGTCCTGTCAGCTTACAAGAAAATTTGTCACTGTAGAATGTCCTATACATACCAGATTTTAAGTACAATCTGCTATCAATTTCTAAGTTAGCCTCTAATAGTCGATGTTTTGTCACATTTTATCCAGATTTTTGTGTGATCCAGGATCTTTGGAGTGGAAAACTGAAGGGGATTGGTAAGCAATACCAGGGGCTATATCACTTCATGCCAATCTCGAAAATCAGCTCATTTTTTCCTGGTTTTGTTTCAGCTTTAAATGAAAATTTGGGAATCAATGTTTTTTATTGTACTAAAGAAACAGCTTGCAAATCTCTCAATGTAGCTACTGCTTCTTCAATAAACACATTGTCTCAAAGTAAGGATGTTGTTCTTTAGCATATGAGATTAGGACATGCTCCTTTATCAATTTTGCAGGAATTGCATCATGGTTTTAACAATCATCACAAGTTCTATTGTGAAACCTGTCCTTTAGCCAAGCATACCAGATTACCTTTTCCTACCAATAACACAACCATATCTCATGCCTTTGAACTGTTGCATCTAGATGTTTGGGGCCCTTACAAGGTTGCCACTCAAGGTAATGCACAATTCTTTCTCACTGTGGTAGATGACTTCACTAGAATCACATGGCTTTTTTTGCTACAGTTCAAGTCTTATATATTCCAGACTTTGAAGAATTTTTTACAAATGGTTCAGAACCAATATCATCACACTCCTCAGTATGTTAGAACTGATAATGGCACATAATTCTTCAATAATCAGTATCATGAATTGTTGTCTAGCTTAGGGATTATACACCAAAGCACTTGTATCTATACTCCATAGCAAAATGGAGTGGTAGAACGCAAGCACATACACATTCTTGACATCGCTAAGGCCTTCAAATTTCAATCTCACATCCCTAATTACTTATGGGGATATGCTGTCAAAGTTGTTGTGTATATAATCAATCAGTTACCTACCAAAGTTTTACATGGCTTATATCATTTTGAGAAGTTTTATGGTCATCAGCTCAATTTGGATCATTTGAGAGTTTTTGGCTGCTTGGCCTATGCTTCCAATCTGCCTATTCGGGACAAGTTTGCTCCTAGATCAATACCCTGTGTTTTCCTTGGATATTCATCCACAAAAAAAGGTTATATTTTGTATGATTTAGCTTCTCAAACCGTTTATGTTAACAAAGATGTTTTATTACATGAGCATGTTTTCCCTTTCTCATTACAACAGTGTAACGCCCCACTTGAGGTACGTAGCTAATGTTTCTTCTTTTGCTCTTATTTGAGCCGGTTTATTAGTATTATTGTTTGGTTGGCCTTTGATTGAGTGGTATGTTGAATACTTGCCTTGAAATTGGTTGAAAATAGAAGGAGTTTAGTGTTCCAGGCTTCGCCGGGGCGAAGAAGAATCTTCGCCGCGGCGAAGAGGTGTTGAAACCCACGGGGAAGCTACTGGACAGCTTTGCCGCGGCGACGTGCCGACCAAAATGTTTGTTAAGTTTTAGATATTTTCTTCCCTAAGGGCAATTTGACCATTCTACCCCTAATTAGTAGGAAAAGTGGGGAGGGGAGTAAAATGTAAGGAATTTTCATGGAGAATATGTTAATATAGGGGTGTATTTGTAATGAATCAAAGGATATAGATGGAATTCCCAAGGAAGAGTAAGGGCAAAATGGGAATGCTTGTGCATAAATTGTATTAAAAGGAATTAAGTCATTGCAAACCCTTCATTCTTCTTCTCCATCGCCATTCTCTTTTCTTACTTCCTCTCAAATTCTCTTTCTTTTGTTCAAGGATTTTTAGTGGGCTTTTGGAGTGATTTGGGGTAGAAAATCAATCTAAGGCATCCTAAGGTAAGGATTCTTGCTTTGGATGTGAAGTTTTGTGAGATTTTGTGTATATTTGAATATTGAGGTCTTTTGGTTCAATTGTTTAATTGTTTAAGGGTAGAGAAAAGTCAAGCAAACCAAGAGAAAGGAAGTGCTAGTGAGATCTCTCCATCACAAGGTAAGTAAATCTCAACCCAAGTAGAGATTTGAGAACTTTCTTGAATAGAGAGTTAATAGCAATTATGTATGTATGTATATACATGTGATATGCTATGTTATTAAGATTTAAATAGAGATAATTATTGCTTTGTGGTTGTTCATACACTTCAATTTTTAGAAGTGAGATGTGGGTTGGGGGTGTAGTCTGAGATGGAATTGAAGGATATTGAGAAATCCTTTTTGGAAGTGTTATTCTATGGCAGGATTTATGGCTATGTGAGGGAGTTTTCTCCCATTTTGGATGGTTAGAGAAAGACATAGAATTATTGTTATAGTAGAGTCTTATTATGCACTTGAGTTGTTTGATGAAATGCCTAATAGAGGTTTGAGTATGAGTAGTGAACCTTAATTCTAGCAACATTGCATGTTGGCATTTCATAAGTGCATTAGTGGAGATGAACCATCTGCATTAATTGTGCATTGAGAAGTGACTTAAGAAAGAGTAGAAAACTTTGTGTATGCACTTGCTCTATGAGTAGAGAACTTTGTGTATGCACTTGCTCTATGAGTAGAGAACTTTGTGAATGCAACTACTCTAAGGGTAGAGAGAATGAGAAGTGCTAGAGTAGAGTGAATGAGAAGAGTATTAGAAACGGGTCGATGCTTTGTGATCATAACCCGATAGTTACTAGAAACGGGTTGATGCTTTGTGATCGTCACCCGATAGTTACTAGAAACGGGTTGATACTTTGTGATCGTCATCCGATAGTTATTAGAAACGGGTTGATGCTTTGTGATCGTCACTCGAAAGTCATGAGAAACGGGTAGGTGCTTTGTGATCTCCACCCGATAGTTATGAAAACCGGGTAGGTACTTTGTGATCCCCACTCGGTAGTCATTAAGAGCGGATTGGTGCTGTGTGAACTCCACCCGACAGTCATGAAGAGTGAGATGATGTTGTGTGAACGCCATCCGGCCGTACCTCCTGTAAGATGAGGCCATGACGTTAGTAAGAAAGTGTGAGGAAGGAATTAAGAAAAAATAGTTACGGGGATAGACAAATAGAGGGTTTACTTACTGAGCATTATTTTGTGCTCACCCCGTCATTTTCCTTTGTGGATGCAGGATCTAGGTGATGATGTAGTCGGAGGGGCGTCGGCAAGCGAGGAGTAATAGCTACACTGTTTCCCCTGTTTTTGTCTTTTTAAATGGCATTTTGTAAATAATGCTCTTTGTGTATAAAAGACTTATTACATATAATAAAAAGAAAAGTTTTGGGCCCATTTTCTATTATTATTATGCAAGCATTTTACTAGTTTACAGCAGTTGTTACAAATAGCCCCCTAAAGCTGCTTTTCCTGCTGACATTTCTGCTGCTACCTTTATGGAAGAAGAACCTTCCTTATACTCCACTTCACATATTCCTCATCATAATTTACCTGACATAGATTCAACTTTACCTAGCTCCTTAGCCTCTCTTGCACCCACTGCACCTTCCTCTGTCCATAATATATCTCCTACACTTCCATCATCTCACACTCAATTTTGGAGATCCAGCAAACCTACTAGGCCTCCCATTTGGACCATTGACTTTATGTGTCCTACTTTGCCCAACTCCAATCAGATTAGCCTCTTAAAATACCCTATTAACAATTATCTCACATATGCCAATTTGTCACCAACATATCAGACCTGCTTGTCTAGTATTTCAGCTCTCTCTAAGCCTACTTCCTTTACTCAAGCATCCAAGGATCCTAACTGGATTGCAGCCATGCAGCAAGAACTTCAGGCCCTGAAGAGAAATGGTACTTGGTCCTTTGTTCCTCTACCCTCGGGAAAGACTCCAATAGGGTGCAAATGGGTTTACAAACTCAAATATCATGCTGATGGAACTCTAGAGAGATATAAGGCCAAGTTGGTGGCCAAAAGTTTTACACGGCAGGCTGGAATTGACTATGAGGAGACATTCTCTCTAGTAGTGAAGATGGTGACTATAAGGCTGATTTTGGCAATTGCTTCTCTTAAAAACTGACCATTATTTGACTTAGATGTTGACAACGCATTCGTCCAAGGAGACCTTCAAGAGGACATTTACATGCATATACCACAAGGCTTCTCCAATCCTCATAATAAGTCCTCAGTGTGTAAATTCCATAAGTCATTGTATGGCTTGAAGCAGGCTTCTAGAGCCTAGAACACTAAACTCACCAATGCCTTACTATTTGGTGGTTTCCATCAATCTCTAGCAGATCATTCCTTCTTTTTTAAGAGACATAATGTCAGATTTTACTCCTTCTTGTGTATGTTGATGACATGGTCATCATTGGCAGTGACAGTGTGTTGATTGCGGAAACTAAGGCTCTCCTGCACCCTCACTTTAAACTTAAAGATTTAGGTTCTCTAAAATACTTTTTAGGCTTTGAGGTTGCTCACTCTTCTAAGGGGATTTACCTTTGTCAACGGAAATATGCTTTGGAGTTAATTGCAAACTCTGGATTAGCTGCTGCCAAACCAGCTTCTGTCCCTCTTGATCCCCAATTCAAGTTCACTACTGTGGACTTTGATAAAGTCTTCCGAGCAACACAAGTTTCACCTCAGCAAGATTTACCCTTAGATGATCCTGCAGTCTATCAGAGATTGGTTGGCAAGTTACTCTACTTGTGTCTCACACGTCCAGATATTAGTTTTGCTGTAAACTTGCTTAGCCAGTTCATGCATAAGCCTAAGCACTCTCATCGTCATGCTGCCTTACGCATTGTCAAATATGTCAAAGGATCTCCAGACTTAGGGTTATTATTTCCTGCTCATGGTTCCTTTCATCTCAAAGCATTTTGTGATTCTGATTGAGCATCTTGCTTGATGACCCGCAAATCAGTCATTGGCTTTTGCATCTTCTTGAGGGATTCTTTGATATCTTGGAAATCAAAACGTCAAGCTACAGTTTCTGTGTCCTCTTCTGAAGTTGAGTATCAAGCTATGATATCCACTGTCTGTGAGCTGATTTGGCTTATGAGACAATTTGGGGGATTTTAGGCTTTAATTTGCCTCAGAAGTAAGGTTGTTGAATCATAAAGAAAGAGTATGATATCAAAAGGTTAACCTTTTTTGTTGGCTCTTTAGACGTACGATTTGTAGTGTTGGACAATTTAAAAAAGAAGATTTGGCACTTTGATGGAAAGGATCTTAGATTATATTATTATTAATTCAATTCCCACTGAGGGACCGATGATGAACCCTTCGAGTTTACGGGTTACGGCAACCAAATTGAACCTTAATTATGATTATGCCAAAGAATTAACTACTACTTATTAATTTACCTGCCAAGCCATCATTTCTTTTTCCAGAATAATTTTACAAAGAAGATACACGTGTAAGGCTCTGATTTCATCTGGCTTGAACAATGGCAATAATTAACAATAACAACCAAAATTAGTAGCCTTATATTGAAGTTGTTACGGACTATGACTTGGTTTCAATCAAATCTTATATGGAACAAACAAACATAATCTGATAGTAGCGTTTGGTTCAAGGTAATAAAAAGATAATTCCAATATTCTATCTCTTAATTAAGACATTATTATGCTTGATTATAAGTAATAAAAAATCTTTTAATACTAATAATGATTACTGTAATTAATATGAGAGATAATCCAATTACCAACTGTTGTTATTTTTTTATTATCAAGACAATCTACTGTTTATATCAAATTTATCCTTAATTAATAAACATTTTGGACACAAATACTCTTATATATCTACTAAATAACAATTAGTTCAAATGTACAAAATGACTTATGTAACCTCATAAATTATTTTTTAAAACAAAAATGCCCCTCACTAATTACATGAATAACATCCAAAATACCCCTAGCCACTCAAAACGACTATCGGTCGACGATAGTGGCCTGTGGCCGACAGTCATCTCCGATGGTTAGAGGTATTTTGTTAAATTTTAAACTTTTATTGTGGTTGGGGTGTTTTAGCTAAATTCTCAAATGTACTCTAAATAATAACAATAATAACAACAACAACAACAATAATAATAATAATAATAATAATAAAAAGGAAGGACAATCTTTGATAATATTTTATTCCTCCCAACCAAACATATTAATTATTTATACACACAAATCTAACCAAATATATTAATATAATACTCTTCATTAATTTTCAAGATAATCTATATTTCCATTAATATAATATTCTCAATTCTATAATATTGCCAACCAAACGCTACCTTTGTAGAATGGTCTAAAAATAAAAGATGAGTATGAAAAGGTTTCCTTGAGAACAACTTTAACATAAGATTTTGAACTTCAATTATTTAGACTCAAATAATTTAATTTGAAGGAGACCCACCTCCTAATTCTCATCTTAATGCTAAAGCAATAATAATAAAAAATAAATAAAGCAAAGCAAAGCAAACATAAGCATCAACTATGAATCTTATCTCTATCTAAAGAATATGCAACTAAATAATCATTCAGCAAGTTATAATTTAATTAATTTATAAATGGAGGTCCAATTAAATGTGACACAAAGGTCCTCACATTTCTTGTGGTAATCAATTTCTTAAGGACCCATCTCTTCCTTTTTTATCAAACATGATATTATCATTATCATAATCACTTTCAAATCAACCTCCCACTAAACCACACATTACACAACCTTGAAAATTAAGAAAACCATACCACCCAAATTATCAATCATATAGGGCAACTTATTGCATTTTCTTCTTTTAAGATTATAAAATAATTCTAAATATTTTTTTAAATTTTGTTAATTGAAAAATTCTATCTTATTTTTCAAATTAAATAAGTTTTTTTCTAATTTCGCTAAAATTAAGAAAATCAATTAAATTCGACAGTTCTACTTTATAATAGAATTCTTATTAACTTTATAATATTATTTAAAAAAAAAAAAAAAGGTTAAGATAGCGGTTTGTTGTAGCATCACCCTCAATGGTCAATTCTATCATATTCCACAGAGTAAACGACATATTCCCACCCAAGGTTTGACGAAATCCCAAGTTAGTACCACTGGTTTCATTTATTCCAGATTTCCACCCTTAAAGTAACAGTTTTATGAATTTTTAGGGTTTAAATGGTACAATTACCATAATGCCCTTAACCCTAAATTAATTAAAATTATGTTTTAACCCCTAAAATAATAGAATTACAAAACTTACCATTTTATTTTCAAATTATATCAAAAACACCCTCGGTCACTATACAGCCTCACCGGAAACAACCCGATCTGGGCTGTTTCCGACGACGTCGAACCCCCTGATCACCTCCATCACCTTCCCCATAGTCCGTCGTCCAAAACCCCTCTGGTTCCCGACTCATTTGCCCCTCCAATCGTCGGCACCGTTAGGCTTAGGGTTTCGGTGTTCTTCATCGGATTCCGGTCGATTCCGGCGGTGAAAATCCAATTGGACACCACCAATGCAACCACCGTCCCCAAATCTATAAAACCCCTATGTCCCCAGCAACCGTTTCGTCGTCATTCGCCGGCCGAGAGTTCGTGTTCATCGGCCCTTTTTCGTTGTCGTGGCCGGAGATCGGCGAGTGATGAGGGGTTGTGAATGGTATGGTTTTGTAGAGGGGAGGATGGGGGTTCAAATGGTGGTGACTAGGGTGATTTTGGGTGGAAGAATCGCCGGAAAAGAGCGAAAAACGTCGGGAACGACGGCTGCTAACGTGCGCCGGAGGAGTGTTAGAGGCGGTGGTCTGCTAACGTGCGCCGTCCATGTAAAATGACTAATTTACCCCTTTACCATTACATCAAACGTTTTTCCGTCACTTTAAGGGTGGGAATCTGGAATAAATGAAACCAGTGGTACTAACTTGGGATTTCGTCAAACCTTGGGTGGGAACATGTCGTTTACTCTATTCCACATGAGTCATTATAAGTGATAAATACTTAATCAACCTTCTATTTTTAGTCCTGCCATTTCAATTACTAGAAAACTCCCCCCTGATTGTAACGGAGGTTAGTCAAAAAAGTTAACTAAAACTAAATTAACAAAATTACTCCTAAACAATTATTTTGAAAAATCCATAACCTTAATAAATAAATTGCACAATTAAGTTATTAAATATATAAGTTTTACATAATTTTACATCACTTGTGGGTATTTTTGTCATTTCAGTTTTAATTAAGAGAATTTACAAACATCAACTAGTTAGTTTCGTGGAGGAGTTTCTTAGGCTTCGTTTGGTTGGATTTTGAGAATACTATTTTTAGTATTCCCAAAAAATTTAAACAGTAAAATACCAAAAACTCATGGCTCCGTTTGGTTCAAAATTTGGGGGTTTTGGGAAAAGTTTTTTGAAAAAAGTTAAAAAAAAAGTTGAATTGGGCGGGTATTACGATGTAGGATTTATAAATTAATAAAAGACCCCCTATATTTGTTTATTTACAAAACACTCCCTATAATAAAATCTTAAAAGTTAACAAAAACACCCCCAACCCAATGTCAAATACGGACAGCCGGCCACCACCGCCGGAGGGTGGCCGGGTTCACCGTATTGGCGCATGACCGGCTGGATCTTACCGGTCGTGCGCCGATATGGCCTTTGCCGGCCAGATCCACGGTGGATCTGGCCGACAAAGGCCAGATCTGACCGTATTTTCTCGTCAACGACGACCAACAAACGGTCGTCGTTGATGATCAACGACGACCGTTTGTTGGACGTCGTTATAAACCGTTGCGGCCAAAGATCTGGCTGTCAACGGCCAAATCTTTGGCCTTAGATCTGGCCTTTTCCGGCCAGATCCACCGTGGATCTGACCAAAAAAGGCTAGATCGACGCACTACCGGCTAGATTCAGCCGGTAGTGCGCCATCCTAACAGATTCCGGCCATTTTCCGGCAGTGGTGGCCAGAATCTGGTAAATATGAATTAATGGGGTGTTTTTGTAATTTTTAAAAATATATTTAGGGGTATTTAATTAAATTATCAAATTTAAGGGGTTTAAAAAAAGTTGAATAATATTGGGAGTAGTATTCCCAAAAATATGAGTTTTT